CGTTATGACTAACAAGGAAAGTAAGATGGGCAAAGGGATCAAAACTAAACAAAATTAACAGGTCTGGTGAGAATAATAATAAATGGACGCAATCTGGTAAATGGAAAATGAACGGAAAAGTAATTCTGATCTGGGTTATACGAAATAATGAATTAATGTTCGGGTCTGGAATACACGGCAATGCGATTCTGGATTAATATCTGGATATAACTTCTAGTAGGTAGGTGATCTGGGAAGAAATTATCTGATGAATTACAAAATCATGCTTTTATATGGGGACAAGGAAGAGCAAACAAGTGGGGAATAATTAAAAGATCGGAACGACAACAAGCGACATCCAACGTACGGATTTTGCAACACTTAATGCAAGGCTTTACAATTAAAATTTCTACATTTTCTTACAGTACAATATACATGGTGTTCCACGTCGAACCCCCGCTATCTATATCTCGGAAGTGAAACCTCTAATTTTTTTGAAAATTGGACGATATAAGTACTGGTATCGATAAGAGAAATTCAACTAAAATACTTGCAAGCTTCCGGTTATATTGGAACTTTATGCTAACTTGCTTACTTTAAATAGAATGCTTCATATATTTTTTCATTCATTTTTGATTCTAGGCAAAATTCTATACACATTTCGTTTTTGACATATTTAATGTTTGTGTCAAAAATCACGTTTTCCTTTTCAGATTGTAATGATTTCTATTTTAGCCGTTTTAGGTAGACTCGTCGGAGTAATTGAAACAGGCCGTCAATTATGACTTTAATAACAAAAGTGGGGAAACTAGTAGATCAACCCTCACAGATATTTGAACTAACTGGGCATTTATCTTGAACTAGATGTAAACAATAAATCCCCAACAAATGCACAAATTAGTCTTTCGTACCCGTACACTCTCTTCTGGGACAGACTATAACTAAATTTTTAAATTGTACGAAATGTAGCCAAACAATTCTGAGATGCTGAAGAGTTATGTTTTAAACCCAGCCAATGATAGTGCCACGATTTGATCCCCAATGCGAGCAAACCGAAACTAGAAACAAGTTGTAAATCAGCATATGCATGATGAAAGCGCATTTTTGGTAATACAGATCAGTATTTTATTAGCAAAGTTTAAAATTATTGATCTCACGAGTAATCTTACTCAAAATCGACTAGAGTTAGAGCCTGCACATCTATACTACAGCAGAAAGCTTTTGGTGAACATTTCAAGTCTCTATAGCTATTGTGATTGCTGAGGTCTCAGCCGAACACCCAGCCAAAAATAAAAACAATCGACATTCTCTACTCAACTACTTAACTCCAGAAAGATAATTTCAGCCATTTCGTTTTTACTATACACCATTTCTGACACAAATGTCATAATAATTTCGTTGATTTTGTTATACCTTCTGCGTAACTTTTCCCTAACTTTATCTTATTAGCATCATACCCACTGTAACACATAACATCAAAGTTCTTGAGAGTTCTATTTTTCTATGTAAATAAAATTCGGATAGTACCTTTTCAAGATTTGGACTAAAGTGCAATTTTAATTAACGAATCTCGGTGGTCCATTTCAAAAATATAAATGCAAAGTTTTGTGACCGAATTTGACGGCGCTAGTTGTATTGTAACCTTTTATGAATTAATTATATAAGTAATCCTGCCTTTTTTATTTTACCGAGACTTTTCAACACGATGAAGGACCTACATTTCAAGCCAACATTGACAAATTGTACCTAATTCAATACAATGTATATCCCTCGACTTCGATTAATATCAATTAAAAACAGGGTACTAATTACCCCAAGATAATGACGTTAGGATTGAAAGTAAATATATTCTTTTATTTATTTAGCAAAGTGCACTAACTGTCAATAGAAGGTACCTAATTGAGGCATCATGCGTGGAATGAAATGCGTAATGTTTATTATCTTATCTCTCTTCATTGTTTGCATACAATTTATAACACACAATCGATTGGAAATTCATGCTCATTCGGCACCCACTTCTAATTGCAATTTAGTTTGAAAATAATTCAAAATCATAAAGGATGTAGGTGTAATTATATTTATAAATTGATAACCCTACGTCACCGCATAATAGGAAAAACTAGTCTAGATATCCTATAATTAACCACACCATATTGTTGAATGGGATTTAGTATTTTCTCATAATCGCACACAAAATTTTTTCTCATCGGGCATTGTAGGTAACAATGGAAAAACCAAATAGGGCGAAGAGAGATTTTTACAACTCTGGACGATCCATTCCCATGGAGCTAAATTTCGAACGCGGTAATCCGGGAAAATTTTAAATGTATTGGGAAATAAGCATTCTCGAACAAAACATCGTATTTCCCGGAAAGAATGCGTCACATCCATCTTCGTTTCTTTTCGCCGGTGGTGCATCTATGTCTATCTGAGTTTCTAGAATATTTACTACAATATTTCCATACAACCACTTTACTACCAAAGTGTCTATAAATAATCGACAAGTTCAACGAATTGTCAATAAGTAAGAATAACGATACCTACGTTGAAAACAGTAGTAAAATAAGTTATAGAAAATTTGCCAAATTTATTTACTACTAACTTAATTGCAAGGAATAAAGGTGGGAAAGTTGAATGGGGCATATTTTTGCTGAAATATACGTCGTAATATTTTAAATCAATATTGTGTAGCTTATTTTACTCACTTTTAAGGATTTTATGGAAAAAGGCAGAACGTGCACAAGTGGTTACACAAAATATTTAGAATATAAAGTAACATTCTATTTCTTTATTTTAGAAGGTATTTTCCATAATACGTAAGATGCTAATCACATGGATCGCTGTCAAAGTTCAGTACTAAAAGCCATTCAATTGCGTATTTTAGAGTAAGCATTGGACAGACTTGGTCAATATTCAACGGAGCACGAATATACAAAGCTTTTGTTCTCAATTCTCTGAGTTTGAATTAATCCACGTAGCCGCGTAGTAACCAATAAAGTAACGCTGATTGTTGATTGAATGTTGCTCACGTATACACTCGCCAAGTTACAAAGCTTGAAAAATGATATATAAACCCTGCAATATTTAAATTAATTTAATATTTAAACTCTGCAATATTCAACTATAGCACAGATATACGTATATCTAGGTTACCCTTTTTTTACAAAATGGTTTTGTGCACTCTAATATACTGCCATTCTCGGAATTTAAACGCAAACTGAAGGAGATTACCATTAAGTTATGGGACACGAGATAGAAAACAGCAACTACAGGAAGGACCCCTGAATTTCATTCCGACAGTGTAGGTTCGGCCCAGGATCTGCAAATTTGAATGTGTTTTGGGAATTTGTGGGGTTATCTGTACCGGTTCGGAAAGTGAGAAGTTGACTTGTGTGAGTCCAGTGCGAGAGACGATTCGTACCATGTGTTGTTGGTATGCCCGCTGGAGGACTCCAACAGAGGATTGGCGGACAGTAGCACGCGAAGTTCGGTACCTATCCTTTGCTATTCAATAACCTATATGCACAACTTTTCACAAATCTTCTCCTTGGTTCCCCATATAATAATCAGCGTCATTAGACACCCTGTATAGTCGACAAAAATCCAGCACCTCATCCTGGCTATACCTATAACTTTACTAAAGAAAAAACAAAATCTATCAACATAAACTATACGCTAGAAATGATCATTTTTCTAACTACAAAACATAAATATTGAAGGGAGGATGTGGATTTATTCATAATATATTGTAATTTTAAATTATTATCCAACTTTATTTCTTTTAGTATTAAATGCGTCACCTAATTCTGTACTGGGCTATTTTAAAAGGATTTTCACCACGAACCTTCCCTATTACTCTCGTGATTGGCTTTAACGTAAGCGTAAGCTACTCATTCAGGATTGTTAAGGAATCGCTGCGATTTCTTGTTTTCCAATTTTTTTGCAAATCCTGGAGGACTGATTTTTGGAACTCCGGTAAGTTTTTCTCTAACATCTTTTCTACTTTAACGATCTACCAATATACGTCAGCCCCTAATAACAAATCAATGGAATATTTAAAGATCAAATTTTATGATCGTACTATTCGACACTGTTACAAAGCAGTTTTTTGGAACGCTTGACCTGGACTTGTTTATTCCAAAAATTGCAGTTTCAGTGAACTCACATTATACAATGACCCATATGAATAAAAGTAAGCAAATGCTTATACTTGCAAAATTCAAAGTAAATACTCGTAAGTGCTCCTTCGCACTGGGCGACTTAGCAGCGCTTCTAAGCAGAAGGACAGGACGCAGTGCAGCGCTGCTAAACCATGCTAAACAGACCAGTATGAAGGGGCAGTTACGAGTATTTACTTTGAATTTTGCAAGTATAAGCATTTGCTTACTTTTATTCATATGGGCCATTGTATCATTTGTATCCAGATTTTTTATTAAATAAAATTAAATCGCGGGAACCGTGTTCTAATCAATGCGCGATCTATGTGGGTTGTTCCCTCATCGTCAATAACGCATAGCTTTGTTGGTGAGGGCAACAAAAAATTCCAGAACTAACGTGATTTAGGTACTGAAATCTAATGAATGTGTTTCATTGATCAAGTTTTACTCAATCTCAATATGTACCTTTCCCATTCTGTTAACGCCATTTTTTTGGTGGGCGAAGTGGCAGTTTGACTCTGCAGTTTTAAACGAATAAGCACCTTGGTTTTATCACTATTCTTATTACCGCACGCGGATGGTAAAGATTTCCATTTGGTTCCATGCCATAAACGCGCAGATAGAGCTTGCGGTATCCATTCATAATCTACGAATTGGACTGATAAAATATACATTTTGTGTTTACTCGTTACAATAGCATACAATGAAATGAAAAACAAGGAAATCGGAAGTGCTTAATTATAAAACGTGTATAAATTGTAATTTACCACCTAATTACAATGATAGTTAACAGTTCTTTTTCCAATTGGTAACAGCAGCGCAATATTCTTACACCGATTTTGGTAGATATTTCAATTTACTTGCTTACACGTACCTACGTTCATTATCATCTGTTCAACCATAAAGCAAGCTACGCAGGGTTTCGACAAGACAGTATATCGTCTTATTTGCATTTCGAAAACAGCGCTACTTTAGCTTTCAGGTTATCATCTGAGGTGTTTCTTCAGGTGTTTGAACAAAAACGGCGCCAAATGAGTGGATTGAATGGTTCGGTAAGAAACAACAGTTTGCAAAAGAAGTTTGAATAACCAAAATCTTATCAGCTTTGCATCTGCACTTCCCATTTACTATATTCCTTTCTTGAGCAATTGGTGTTTTTGTTATATACCTAGTCATAAAGGATTTGCAGGTATTTCAATATGTCCGGAAACAAGACACAAAACTATGTTGTCCGACGAGAAGAGAAATTTGGAGTCAAAACCTTCGATACGATGCCTGTAACTGTTACTAGAGGACGGGGTAGATATTGATGTAAAACGCCTTTTCGATTGCTAACCACTTTGTTTACTAGGGATTTTTCTATGGGACGTGGATGGTAACCGATATTTTGACTTTACAAGCGCTTATTCGGCTATAAATCAAGGACATTGCCACCCAAAAATCGTGAACGCGTTAAAAGCCCAAGCTGAAACGCTAACTATGACGGCCAGGGCTGTCTACAACGAAGCACTGGGAGAATATGCGCAATACGTTACAAGCTTGCTTGGATACGACAAAGTTTTGCCCGTTAGCAGCGGGGTGGAAGCTGGCGATATGGCCTTGAAAGTTGCGAGAAGATGGGGTTATATTAAAAAAGGGATTCCGGATAACGAGGCAAAGATTGTGTTTGCAAAGGGAAATTATTGGGGAAGGACTTTAGCCGCAATTTCTAGCTCTACCGATCTAGTATGTAAACAGTTTTATGGCCCACACATGCCAGGGTTTCTGATCATACCCTTTGACGATTTGGTCGCCTTGGAAGTAAGATCGACAGTTTTGTACAAAACACCATCTGATCGACTTTTTTTTAGAATATATTGAAAAATGATCCCAATATTTGTGCTTTCATGGTTGAATGCATACAAGGGGAAGCCGGTTGCGTAGTCCCATCCCCTGGCTACCTTAAGGGAATAAGAGAGCTGTGTACCAAATACAATGTCTTATGGATTGACGACGAAGTACAAACAGGATTGGGACGTACCGGAAAACTTTTGGCAGCAGATCACGAGAATGTAAAGCCAGATTTGGTGTGTTTAGGTAAATCTCTGTCTGGAGGGTTAATGGCGGTAAGAAGTGTAGTTTTAGAGGTCAAAATAGTAAGTCGTAATTATTATTTTAGATATCGGCAGTTTTGGCTAATGACGAAACGGTCCTTTGCCTGGAACCAGGTGAACATGCTACTACGTATGGAGGTAATCCTCTTGCATGTACAGTTGCGACTGCTGCTCTGAAGGTCATCGTGGAAGAAAATTTGACCGAAAATGCTTTTCGTTTAGGAGAAATTTTACGGGAAGAACTGGAGAAATTGCCCAAAAGTATCGTGCAAGAAGTTCGGGGCAGAGGGCTCTTCTATGCTATTGTTTTAAGACAAGGTATTAACATTTTTACGATACATAAAACCTTAGCATTAGCACCACCTTTGCGCAGTTCTCAAAGTGTGTTAATATTCAAAAATTCAAAACTATTTGCACATTGATTCAGTGATATCACTCATCATTTGCAGAAATTAAAGGAACAGTCATGATATTATATTGGAATACCCCCTCTGGTGTACCATCTCAGCTCACATTCACATGTCCTTCTCCCTATAATTTAATGGTTAGAATTGATCCATCAGCTATTACGATTTTTGATATGTTATTTTCAAAAACTGTACATACTTTGTGCAAAGAGTATTATGGGTACTCTTTGCTTTGTGTCACCAGTTCCTACACTAATCATAAGTTTTTACATGAACTTGATCATAACGAGAAGCCTAAATTCTAATAATTGGTTGCAGGGTGCGGAATAACATCAAAAGATGTGTGCTTCAGGCTCATAGAGAAAAAGGTACTGACGATTAGAGGAGCGGGTACGACCATTGTTCGCATTGCACCACCTCTGGTCATAACGGAAGCTGAATTATTAGAAGGAATCCAAATAATTTTGGACGTTTTCCATTCATTTTGTTCGTAGCGTATCTACTGCCCAATGTTGACTTGTTAAATAATGTCATGAACTGAAATAAAAGAATATATTGGGCCTATATTCTCCGCTATTATCTCAAATGGAACATAATTAAATTTATTTCAAACTTCATTTTTTGATTCTAAAATATAAGTAGGTGCAACCGATATGCAGCCAGACAAATGATGCGAACCGAGTATCTTCATTTTTGTTGGTTGCAAAATATTTTCAAACTAAAGAGCTATATCTCCCGATCCAAGAGTCTCTAAAGCTGCGAACACATCTAATACTCTTTAATGATTTATTTAGGCGCGATTACCACAAACTACATAGCCGGGAGTAGGAGCCGTGTAGGTTTCGGAATCCTCGATCCACTGACTGAGACCGCTATGTGTTGAAGAACAGCTGTAAGCTGCGCGCCTTTCGAGGAGCGAAGAGATCACCTTGGTCCATCACCTTGGTCCGTAAAGAAGGTCGCAGGCTCTTTAATAAGGCCATGCGAACTAAGCTGCCTGCGGATTAGAAAGAACTCAGGATCGCTCAGCGCAGGTCCAAATTCCCGTCTCTTCTGCAGAAGAGCTTATTCATACTTTCTTAAATTTTTTGCCAGACCCGATTTTGGCATTTAAGCCCCCAAATACAAGATGGCGGCCGAAATTGCCGTTTTTCGATTATTTCGAGTCCCCAAGGCATGCCGCTGAACGTTTTGGGAACTTTACGGGTAGAATAACATCTAGTACACCCGACTACACGGTTTAAGCACACTTTGGTATGCATATTAAGTGCCAAAAAGCCGCTTAAAAACCTCAAAAATGCAAAACTCGTCATGTTTTGTCCTCTTTTCCTTTCTGGCCTGTTGCCGGCGTCCAACATTTATTTCTATGTTAAAATTAACATTTAAATATGTGGGGACAGGGGTGGATGGGGCCGGCGGGATACCTGGAACTTTCCCGGTGGGCCGGTAGGATCCATGAGCACTTTGCGGCTGGCATCATCACTCAAATCAAAACACAAAACAGAGATAGAGCCAGGCTACGCCGCCACTTGCAAGGAATTATTTTAATTCAAATTCGAAGGTGACGGTGCAAATAAAAAATTATCAAAGTCCTCGTGTCCATCAATAAGATCTTGTTGAAGGCTACCACATTCCCTTTGTCGTTACCCACCTCCGACGTCCCGTTCACCCGCAATTCGTATTTTGGTGGATTTTGCTAAAAACCCTACACAAAATAGTACTCAATTTTAGGGGCACTTCTCATAGCTCCAGCCTCACGAGAAAGAGAGACCGCGATTCGAGCACTTAAGAAACTTTTAGGTGTGCACAATCGGACCAAAACTGTAGAAGGAGAAGGAATAATCACCACGTTAGTACATCACGCTTCTGGATGGCCCCAGATGTTGCCAGCCGCATGCATCATGTAGTAACTTGTTAATTACACGGCGCCGGTAGCACTCCTTGTCTTCCTCCAAGCGTTTTTTTACAGACCCGCATTTGCTGCCAGCCAGCTAGCCAGCCGGCTCAAGTGAGATTAAAAGCTACCTTTGACACAAATTTGCAAAGATGCGCTAAAAATGAAATAACTAATAAGGATATATAAATGAGTAAATTGGAAGAAAATTAAGAATTTCTGTGTTCAGACTCTTAAAATCAAGCCATTGAATCCATTAAAGGTAGATTTTCACAAAGTATACAGATTTCTGTATGGATCTTTCCTTTTTAAATTCACATAATTTCCCTGATATTAAAAATGAAGCATTGCCTAATAATCTACTGGAAAAACGTTGGGAAAAAATGCCATCCTGTTCGATTACGAGAAGAAAGTTTAAGATCCTGTCGGGGGCCACCGCAATTGAGTTTTCTTGAAACAAAAATGTATAAAAAATGTCAACCGCATTGCTTCCGAACGATGCAGATAAAAAACAAGATGTAGATGATTTCTCTAAAAATGCCGTTTGTGGTAGTTGTCAAAACTGTTTTAGATGCCGTTATAGTGCGATTAGCAGTAGAATTTATATCAAGGAACATTATAGCGAATATTCCAGAAATTCCGAGGCGCCATGAAAGAAGAAGAATCGGCGATAAACAGCGAAGACAGATGTGACGCAATCTTTCCGGGAAATACGACGTGTTTGTTAAAACATTCTAGAATACTCGGGAGCCTTCCAGAAAGAACGACGTTTGCTATATAAGCAAATCGAATTGCGTTTCAATCAGTTCCAATTTCAACGCCGTAGTAATAAATAGTTTGCGCTTATAATTACCATTATAAATTAATCCATTTTAAAACATACATTAATTTTTTTTCATACAAATAAACGTTTAATGAAAATAATAGAACAGGAACAAATTACATATAAGAACTGGATTTTAAAACATAATAAATTTCGTCAAAAGAATTACAAAAAAAGGTAAAGTTCCTAAAATACATTCGGCATTGCCTTTTTGGATTTCTATACATTAATTAATTGATTCTTATTCTTTCGCAATTCTGAAATGTATAATTCCGATTAAGCAACAGATTGCGTAACAATAATCTAGAAGCAATGATGTTGTTGGGAAATAATTATCAACAATCAGTGTTAGAAAAAGTGTAAATGTTTGAAATTAGGGCGCATTGAGTACCCCCTCCCCCACCCGCTAAGTGGGCCGATAGTCAAGTATATTTCACGGACCGGTTTATGGGTTCCCCATCCACCCCTGTGTGGGGACCTCCCGCAGCGTCAATACCAGGGTCCTAAATACCAATATGGCGCCTGGAAAGTCCAAAAACAGTGACCCAACTCAATTCAGAGTGCTGTGCTAAACTTGGCTGGGGTCTTGTACTTGATTGCGAGAGCAGATCCAGGAATTCAGTTTAAAAATTGTGTGATTAAGACTCAAATGAGTGCATTGGAGATCAGAATAGTTTCAATTAAACATATCTAAACATTAATTTTATTTAAAAAGATTTGCCTGTTAAAACTTATATGACTTATTCACGTATGGTATGGTACATAGGTACTGAGTGCACAATCCATGAATACAGAGACAAAGAATGAAATTGCCAGTCACCCTTTTTGTACAGTTTTTAAGCACGAGGTGACACAATAATCTTGAATTGCATGTTTCGATTTCAAGACATTTCGTTTTGCGAAGGAGGTATTTGGTTCACTCGTATCAAATTAATGCAAAGTTAGTAAACTTTGCGACAATATTATTATTAAAGCTAATAAAAAGGCAAGTGCGGTTTTTGTTAAGAATGAAACTATTAACAGACTTCTAAACACCTGTTTAAAATGTCGACGCCACCGACGCAATGGACTACACGCATTTCTAATTTTAGACTTGGATAGGTAAGATGATTGTAATTGTCGTGTATAAATTTTTGATTGCTTGAAACTAACGGCAGTTACATGTGTTGAGGTAATATTTAGTCACACTTCACCTATTGTCCAACTCCAAAATCATTTTTCTTTGTATGCCCAATGTTTAAATGTAAAAATCCAAATTACTTACTGCATTTTACGTGGTACTATAATCTGTGCTTGTCAAAATTCACCCTTAGCTTTCTTGCTTTCGGTACTAGGCACTTTCCTTCGAACCATTTGGAATTTTTGGAGACCATTCCGCACAAGATGCACTGCACTTCGCGTTAACACGATCGAATTATTTGATCATAAGTTATATTTTTGATGGAGGGGCGGTAACATAAGTAGGTAGAGATTAATCACCTGATGCGCTTATCTGCACATGCGGTCACTTTTACCTTTCAATAATTGTTTGCCGTACCGAATGAAGTCGTTCCTGATAAAATATGACAATTTTTTAACCCATTAGATTGTGTTCTAAATTTTCATTCTCACATGCAAAAAGTCAAAATCTGACTTTCCTTGTCTACCTTCCAATTGCATTTTGTCACTGAAATAGCTTTCTTTGACTCGTTCAAAAATAAACTTTAGCTTCTAATTGTTTTACTCAATATTACCACGCAGTATTTGAAATATAACAATCGCAAATATTGTTATTAATTTATAATACCTGTGAGAAGGTGCGTGACGAAGCGTAGGTTTTTCTATATGAAAGCGGCGGTAGTAAAGTATTGGAATGGAGTATCAAAGCAAGTATGGGGAAAAATTTAAGAAGATTTTGAAAGGATTTCTGAGGATTTATAAGGAATTTTATCCGATTTCAAGGTTTTCCGCGCGTGGATCTCCAGGAATTGACGGGGAGCTTACGGGATTTCTTTGATCGCTTGTAAAAATTTTTCTATTGGACCGATTTTATTTGTTCGCATGTTTTGATCGACGCAGAATTGTGTTTTCTTTAATTTACTAAAGAAGTGTTATTCACAAAATATGGACCATGAGTTGTTCTTGATTTATTCTTGTGTTTCTTTAACCTCTTATAACATAAAAATAAAAAAACTACTAAAAATTAAATAGTTAAAAACCAAATTGTTTCATTAATATCTGGGTAATATCTTATTACTAACAAACCTCGCGAACTTCGTAGGTACCGTCTTTGCAATATCTCATTTTCTTAAACTGAACGTGCGCCCGGTGAACTTCATACGCCCTAGCAATCAATGTTTCCTTGGATGGGACATACGCTCGGTTTTTGTGGCTGCGCCGCCTCCGCACATCAGGCAAATTATATAATCACCTAGCGATATGAAATGTACTACCAGCTATACAAAAAAATTCATAAAAACTGGTCGTGCCGTTTCGGAAGAGTACGACATCAGAGAATAATTCGTACGTATAGTTCTTTTTTAGCGCATTTTTGCAAAAATTTTTTTTTGTAAAAAGTAGCTTTTAATCTCACTTTGGCTGGCTGGCTGGTCGGCTGGCTGGCTGGCTGGCAGTAAATGCGCGCCCGTAGAAAAACGCTTGTAAAAAGACAAGGAGTGTACATGTAACTATCGGGGCCGTGTAATTAAGAACGTTAGGGATGGGGCTACAAGATTTGGAGTGGACGACATCTGGACGCCATCCCCGAGCGTATTATACTAACCTGGAGATTTTTCAGTTTTTATCTATCTTCTTCTACAGTTTTTCTCCGATTGTTTTCAAATTGGTGTCGTCGGGAAGATCTTGTCAACGCGCACAACTCCTGCGTGGCGGAATTTTGTTTTTTTTCCTAGGGGCGAA